ATCATAAGGCAAAAGGGCACACAAGATATTGAAACTCCAGAAACTTTATGAGCCTTTTGACAAACATGGCCATAACTTTAGCTGGGGAAATTTATATTCGCTTTTGCACCATACACACATACTTCTTAGCTGGGGAAATTTATATTTGCTTTTGCACCACCCACACATACTTCTTAGGGGCTAGAATGTCTCAAGGCTTGATATAATCAATGCAGTCATGACAAAGTTCTCTACAACATCTTAATTTTATTGCAAGCCTTTCCCAAAACAATATTTTAGGGTTGATACCTACATAACACCTGCCAATATTCTGGAAAAGTTGTATAAGTAATTTTCATATATAACCCAAAGTTAGACAGTGCACTTACATTTTTCTGGGAACTGCAGAAAAAGATCTGACAGTGACACAGTTTCCTTTTTCCAGTCTGCAATCTCTGAATGATTGCATGCAACTAACTACATATGTACACCCATCATTCGGTGGACACTCAAAAGGATCCAAAAGCTAATACTACAAGGAATCAAATATTCATTAGACATCATCTTTGAAATAGGTGTTTATTTACAGCAGTGTATAAAAAGGGTATTATTGTAGTTTTACAAATGAGATAACTAGAGCCCAGATAATTTAAGTAACTTGCCCAAAGTTACAAAGCTACTACATAGGAGAGCTGGGACTTGAGCCCAAGTGTGACTCCATGATGCATGAACTTGAACTTGAACTGTGGGGGATTGAAAAAGAAGGGTGTATACACTGTGGGACTCTAGCAAGAGAAGGAGTAAATGATAGAACAAAGGAAAGTCATTTTGAAGTTGAGAAACCATTCAGTAGAAATTACCAGTTACAAAACCTGCTTGCTGCTTTGGTAATTCAGATATTGGGACATGAGCTCCACCTGTTTTAGGCTCAGCAAGTGATTTGTGAGCTGTTGTTGATTTGGCTGGGTAGGGGTGGGAGGGAGGAATTTTGAATCTGTGAGTCAGCTGAATATTGTGAACTCTTCTTTTCCCGAAGAAGCCGAGGCAATTGTTGAAACCAAAATGGAGAACAAACCCACCTCCTCAGAACTACAGAAGATACAAGAGAAAGAGAAACGGTTCCAAGAGCCCGGATCGGGAGTGTCCGTTGTTCTCATTACAACCCTTCTGGTTATTCCCGTGGTTGTGCTGCTGGCCATTGCCATATTTATTCGGTGGAAAAAATCAAGGGCCTTTGGAGGCAAGTAAATGAGTCCTTTGAACTTGGAACCTGCCTTTGAAAGAGTGTTTGGCCTGATTACATTCAGGAGTCTGGTTGGAATTTTTTTCAGTCCTTTTTGTTGTTTAATTCTCTCTACTTTTTTTGGTGTTATTGTCTTATGGTCTGAAGTATTGTCTACTGTTTACAACAGAGTTGAAATTACATCTGGAGCCTTAAAAATTGGGAGAGTTCAATTAAAATATAACCATTAGCATTGACTTTTAGCAGTTTGGCTCAAGCCCAAATAGTGTCTCAATGGTGAAATTGTGGAGTTAAGTAATGTTGCTGTGAATTAACTCAGGGGTCCAGAAAGAGAGGGAGCGTCCTGGTGTTAGGAACGAGCCCAGTTTTACTTCACCGAATTATTTGGTTTTTTTTCCTTTTCTTCACCAAACAGAATTTTGACTTTACCTCCTAACTCCATGACCTTGGGCAAGTTACTTAACCACTCAAAACCACTATTTTTTCATCTATTTAACATGGGGATAATACACTAACCTCTCCAGGGTATGTGAGAATTCAATGAAATAGGATGTGTAAAGTCTTTATCACAGTACCTGACACCTAAAGTGCTCAATTAATATTACTAATGATGATACTTTTTTAAGATAATTTTATTGGACTCATGATAATAATTACCCAAAAATCACAAGAAAGCAACTAGATTGATAGTGAACCATTCAGTCATTTTAAGTATTCCTAATGTACATCATTAGCCTTCCCATAACTGAAAAAGACAGGATTCCATAGTTAAATCACCATTTTCTTGAGGTATTATTACAATATAGTGCACAGAAGCTGAATTTCTTCCAGGATTTCCAGATAAGTATGTAAATAAGCAAATGACCAGCTTATGCAATTTTAGATGCAAATTTAGATTTTCTCACAGCTCCGCAGCGACCCTCTCACCCTATCCCCAGGTTCTAAAAGGCGAGGGTCTACAGATATACCTAGAAAGAGCTCAAGGTCCAAGGGTAAGAGGCAACATTTGATTAAGAAATAGACTGATTCCATGTCCAGCCAGAGCAGCAATGTCAAGGACTCAGTGCCATGGCAAAGTGCTGACACAGAAAATGACGTGGAAACAAAACCAGAGCATTCGATTTAAGAAGTTATGAAATAAGAATTTTTCTTGGACTTTTCATCTGCAAGTTGGTAAAACTGCAAAAATACAGTTAACTGCATTGAAAAAAAAAGACTTCAATAGAGTCCCTGTTATATGTCTTGAAATGTAGTAAGACTGAGCCTGTTATGTGTCTTGAAATGTAGTAAGACTGACTATAAACATAGTCAGGGTCTTTATAGCATTTAATATAAGCTTCAAAAGACCAAGTCTTGTTTGTCTTATTTACCAATGTGTTTCCAGTGCAAATAAAAGTTCTAGGCACTAGTGATTTGATAAATATTTGTTGAGAAAGTGACAATGTGTAAATGAAGCTCACCAAATAGATGACACATAAAAATTATTATAAAAGGTCAGGTGAGTGTGGTCACAGACAACTTCGCAGAGAGGAACACATGGGATCTGGGAACTGGTGGCAACAGTGGTGCTCACGATCTCAGACTTGGAGGTGGAAGGTTAGAAGCTACAGTTCGGTTTCTCCCATTTTCTATTAAGCACTTGTGACCCAGAACTGATAGAGAATCCTGAGTTTACAGGGGTACAGAGAAAGTAGCATGCTAGGCTGATTCATATGAAATTGTCCTGATTTAACCAGTTTTTGTGTGTTGGGGAAAAATGCAATTTTAGATGGCCCATCTTAATTCTAAAAAGTAAGTTAGCCTCTCACCATTGTCTAATATTTGTTCTTAATATATTTTACTCAGTCCATCATAAGGTTTCTAAAAAAGACACATAAGTGACCTTTCATTGGTTCAGCACACATTTATTGTGTGTCAGCTCCACATCAGACACAGTGCCAACCTTAGTGTCAACAAAACTCAAGGAAGGTCCCTGTCTTTCTGTTTACTCTGAGTTTTTCAGAATCTTACCAGATTCTCCTTCCTTTCTTGGCTATTTCTCTCCCTGTCCACTCTTCTATTTTCCCTCGATTATCTGCCCACGTGTTAGCCTTCTCCATCATGCACTTTCATTCCTGGTTAGAGACGGAATATAAGCATCCCAAGCCTTTGGGACCTCAGGAGCCCCATATCCTATAAGGAAGAGAGTCAGTCTTTCACAGGAGAACACTTGAGTCTGTGTATGCTTGGAAAATACTCAGGGGTTCCTTTCCTTTATCTCTGTGCATATCTTACTTAAGGAGCTCAGGTGGTACAATATCCATACTTGTTAATTGAAAGGTTGGCAGTTCAAACCCATCCTGAGCCTGCACGGGAAAAAGATCTAATGATCGGCTCCCATGTCAATTACAGCTTAGAAAATTCTATGGGAAGGCCTATTATATCACACAGGGTCAGAATGGATCAGAATCGGTTCTGCAGCACCCAGCTACTACATCTCTACCTTACTGGGAGAAATGGCCTGCGGGAATCTTAAGCTTTCTCAAGGAGGACATGGACAGTTCTTAATGTTAAGAACAAATCATAAATTATAATAAGTAGAATTTCCAAAGTTCTGTAAATTATTAGAAACTGACTCTACCTTAATAAAAAAATTTAAAAACAATATATATTGAGCATTTACTGTGAGTCAACTGGGTACTATTCTAAGCACATCACTAAACCTCACAAATACTTAAGGATTGTCTCTGATCAGACTTTTCTCAGAGGACTAAAATTGAGGCACAGGAATATAATTTATGTAGACTCTACATTCTATAGAGATACAGTCAGGAGTCAAATCCAACTCTAGCTCTTACTATTATCACATTATTTGGTCTCCCCTGCTCCAAAATTATCTGCAGACAAGAGCCAGGCCTTGTTAATCATGTATGAAGTCCTGAATTTATGTTGTAAAGTTGAGCCTATGGCTTGAGACGGGTGATTGGGACTCATTTTAAAATGTACCATCTCTGTCTAGCAGATTCTGAACACAAACTCGAGGCAAGTTCAGGAAGAGTACTGGGAAGACTTAGAGGTATGCCTGTGACAGTCCTTTAACTCCGAGATTCATACAGTGCCAAGTGCATGCCTTTGAAGCAGCAAAGACATATTTCATCTTTTACCGCTGAAAAATCAAACTCCTTGTGTGTGTCATGCGACTCCCTGAGTTTTAAGTCTAGAATGCAAGTGTATCGCTTTGGCAGTAACCCCCCTAATTGTGTTTTTCCACCTTGTCATTCTATAGTATCTGATTCCCCTGCCTTGTATCTGACTTCATTTGTCTTCAGTCAGTTTTCGGTCACTCCTGTCAGCATGTCAGTATTTGTCATAGTGAGATGCCCTTTTCATAAGGTCACTGAAATGAAGAGCTGCTCGTGGGATGCCAATTCTGGAGAGCCAGGAAAAAGCGGAAAGTGCAAAGTAAATCTGAAATATTCCCACAAAAACGCCTACTCTGAAAGGATTGGTCCCCCCTCCCATCACCACCATTCTTATTTTAATGAGTCTGGGAGTAGCATCTATCTGGCTCTGTAAGATAAGTCTCTGTGTGCTACTTGTTTCTTTTATATCTACTCCTGTAAAGATTTACAGTCTCGGAAACCCACACAGGCAGTTCTAATTTGTCTTAGAGGATCACTATGAGGCGAAATCAACTGGAAGACTGGCTTGTTTTGTTTGCTTTTTTTGTTGTTCACCTTCTCCAACTTCTAACATTATGTACTATTCAAGAATTGGCAAGGGAACCAACAATCATGTCTACCAACTGCACCTCAGTCAGTCCTGTTCTTTGCTTCCCTCAGGGAAAGGAACTGGCGGCTTAAACCTTGGAAACTTCTTCGCGAGCCGCCAGGGCTACAGCCGAAAAGGGTTTGACCGGCTCAGCACCGAGGGAAGTGACCAGGAGAAAGATGAGGATGACGGGAGTGAATCGGAAGAGGAGTACTCGGCCCCTTTGCCTGCACCGGCACCGCCCTCCTCCTGAAAACCAGGCTGTGCTGTAGCTGGAGCAAGACTTTACCAAGAATGCCAGAGCCCTTCCCTTTAGCACGTTTAAACTTTTGTGTATTTAATTGTAACCGTACTAGTCTATGTGGGACTGTACACATTTTATTCACTTCCTTTTGGTGTGGCTGGTTTCTGTTTCTAGTTGAGGGGTTTCCTAAAAGCTCATAGCTGTGCCATTGTCTTTATATGAGCATAGAGTAGAGACACCGTCCTTTTCCTCCATCGCAGTACTAATTTAAATGATGGAATGTTTGCTCATGCACATTTTCGAGACTTTTCTGTGGATGTAAAATCAGCCCACTCTCGCTTGAACACAGTATTTCTCCAAAAGCACGCCTGTTGCCAGTGTGTTTCTCTGGTGCCTTTCCTGTTCAGCATTCTCAGCCTGTGGCAGTAAAGAGAGACTTTGTGCTACATGATGACCAAGCTGCTAAATCTCCTATTTTTTTAAAATCACTAGCATTATATTGCAACGAGAAAAAGAAAAAAAAAAGTCTCTATTTAAATTCTTCCTTTTAGTTTTCTTCTGTTGGTGTGTTTCCGGGATGTCTTATTTTTAGATGGTTACACTGTTAGAACACTATTTTCAGAATCTGAATGTAATTTGTGTAATAAAGTGTTTTCAGAGCATTAGCTGTCAGAGTGTATTTTGCAATTTTGCAGGCTTTTGTATGCAACTTTTGTAATAATTACACAAACCACAGATAGAGTAAAATTCTCTCGGTGTCTTCAACCAGAAGAAATGTGTTGCATTATATAAGAAAGAGAAGATATTTTGTTATGTAGCTAATATACACTGAAAACCAGACTAAGAGTTTACATACATGTGTGTACCAGGCTTTCTTTCAACATTTAGAGAGGAGTCTTGCCTGTATAGCGATCAGAAAGTAAAGCGTTAATAAAAGGCGATCATCGCGAAGAGGAAACCTGTCTCATATTACATCTGCAAACGAGTCCGTCAGGGTAGGTCACCAGTCATCGTTTTCTTCTCCAAGAAAGATCCCGCCTAGATTCCCATGTCCTTGTAGGACTCCACCCATTACTGAACATAAAGTACATCAAAAAAATCTTTTTCACAACCCATGCATTAAATTTAGTAAGAGCCTGATAATTTTCCTTTTTGTAATCATCAGAATCCTTTCTTCAAAAACTCTGCTTGCAATTATGGCATTTTTCTTATTAGGATGTGGGAACTAGAAACAGAGCTATCATTTTAGTGTTACATTTAATAATAAGGCCATTAGCATCCTTCTTTGAAATTATGGGTACCTGAGGAGCCCTGGAAGCATATTGATTACACACTGAACTGCTAACTGTTAGGTCAGCAGTTCAAAACCACCAGGTACTCCTCAGGAGAAAGATGAGGTTTTCTACTCCTGGAAAAAAGTACCTTCTCCGAAACCTCAGGAGCAGTTCTGCTCTGTCCTGTAGGGTTGCCATGCATTGTCAGCAACTCCATAGCAGTGGGTTTAGTTTGCGTATTATTCCCAAACAGTTGTAGAAGGGCCTAATGGATGCAAATACAGATCAAAGTAATAAATTATGAGGATGTGAGAAAGGAAAACAGATAAAAATGGAAAACTGATACAGGAACAATTCTTATTACACACTTGTTTATAAAGAACAAATTTGGCCCCAAAGTTTGTAGCAGCTTGTTAAATAAAATTTGATTAAATTCCTAATCCATGAATCCATTAAACTTCAGAATTCATAATACTGAGAGACCAGATATAATTTACATCTAAGAACTTTCTAACTAAAGTAATCTAAAGTCCAGCAATTCCATAAGGAAGACAAAGACATTTTATACATCTGTTTCTTACATATGTCTCAGTATTAACATATGACAACAAAAAAAGTAAAATTTAGAAAATGTTTACCAGGAGCATTGCAATCCTGACCTGCCTGCCTTGGCTAACCTGCTTTAATTGAAGATGATAGACGAGGCAAGAATGGTCTGTACCGCCTTCAGGCAGTCTCTCTACTGATTGTTGTTCCTCACTGAACTTCATTTACTGACTCCGTTTGAGACTGATTTACTGAGGCACTGGGAAGTGACTAGAGAACTGATTCCCAGCCTGGGCGTTGCAGTAGAATCGCCTGAAGAATTGAAGGGAAAAATGGGTGAGCATTCCTCCCCAGAGATTTTTATTTAGTTGGCTTACAGTGGAATACAGGCTGTCATGTATTTAAATTTAAATTTCCCCAAGTGATTCTAATGTACAGCCATCACTGAAAACCACTACCTTTGAGAATAGCTATTCTACCTCACTAATTACAACAAGCTATATTCTTATGTAAATTATAGCTCATAAATATTTGGAGAGGGTAGAGGAGTTTGAAGAATTTAAATATGGTAGTTCATTCTGAGATCAGAATACCTTAATTAATCAGTTTATTAACCAAAATCAAACTCAATGCCATTGAGTTGATGCCAACTCATAGTGACCCTAGGACAGGGTGGAACTGCCCCCTGTGGATTTCTGAGACTGTCACTCTTTTATGGGAGTAGAAAGCTCCTCTTCTCAGTTTATTAAAGTAGGGGTGGGGATTATTAAAATGGGCAAACTTTACCAAAACAGGGAAAGAGTTTTGCTTTGATATACCGAATATACTCAATTATGAGCTGACCCAAATATCAATTGAGGCACCAACTTTTACCACAAAAGCCGCATTAAAAATGTGCTGAAAAACATTTTATACATGAGTATATATGGTATTTTTTCATATTAAAATATCCAGAAAATATAATTCAGGAAATAGCTTTGTCATCTGATGAGTTATCCCTGAATTATATGCACAAAATCCTACCCATGTTAACTCTGAGATTAGATAGCTTAGTTTAGGTACCAACCTCTAAAACAGTAACTGGTCATGGGAAATGTGATACTCAACTAGTCAGACATTGGTTATATATGTACCAGTGGAACCAGGGCCAGAGTCGGCCCAATAGTAACAATAGTGATGAGCTGGAAAGCATTGGTATCTCCAAAAGAATTTAAAATACTGTTGCCAATTATTTAGCATAGCATCTATGAATACTTTTTTAGCATGTGTGGAATTAAAAAAATAACTTCCACTTATATTGACCTTAAGAACTTTAATAAATACTATTCCTCAAGTAAATGTCTTTACTGAATTAGGCATCTGTGTAGCATTTAACTTACTACATACAAAGGAATAATGTGTGATTATCTGTATACTACTGTATATATGAAGACTATAAGCTTAAAAGGTCAGTGAAATGTTTTAGCCCACAAACAATACAGAATACAAGAAACAAGATTAAATTTCTCTTTCACTGGTAATAATGATAACAAAAAACATATACATAAGTTAAAAATCAGAGCTTTGAGGCATAAAAGCCAACTTTATATTCTATCATCTTTACCCAACGAAGGTTGATGGGAATTGCTAGCTTACAAAATAATTTTTTTTAAAGACAGCTGATTTAGTTATGTGTAAACCAAGTAATTTACACTGATTCTTTAATATCAAGCAAATCCATCTTGGAAGAAGCACGATCAGAATGTTCCTTAGAAGCATGGATGATTAGATTTTGTCTCACACACTTTGGACCCGGAGAAGGACATCATGCTCAGTAAAGTAGGAGACCCTCAGTTAAAAAGCGGAAGGCCAAAGAGATCTATATGCATATATTGATAGGTTTAGTATTAAGGTGGTAGATGGACATTGGGCCTCCACTCAAGTACTCCCTCAATGCAATAACACTTTATTAAAGTGGCATTCCATGATGCTCACCTTCTCGACATGATCTCTGAAAAAAGACATCAGATGCATAAGCAAATGTTGTGAAGAAAACTGATGGTGGCCAGGTATGAAAAGATACAGCGTCTGGGATCTTAAAGGCTTGAAGATAAGTGGCCATCTAGCTCAGAAGCAACCAAGCCCACATGGAAGAAGCACACCAGCCTGTGTGATCACGAGGTGTTGGAAGGATCAGGTATCAACCAAAAAAACCAAAAAAATCACATCATTGTGAATGAGGGGGAGTGCGGAGTGGAGACCCAAAGCCCATCTGTAGGCAATTGGACATCCCCTTACAGAAGGGTCGCGGGGAGGAGACAAGCCAGTCAGGGTGCAATGTAGCAACAATGAAACATACAACTTTCCTCTAGTTCCTAAATGCTTCCTCCCCCCACTACCATGATCCCAATTCTACCTTACAAATCTGGCTAGACCAGAGGATGTACACTGGTACAGATAGGAACTGGAAACACAGGGAATCCAGGACAGATGAACCCCTCAAGACCAGTGGTGAGAGTGGCGATACCAGGAGGGTGGAGGGAAGGTGTGGTAGAAAGGGAGAACCGATTAGAAGGATCTACATATAACCTCCTCCCTGGGGGACAGACAACCAAAAAGTGGGTGAAGGGAAACGTCAGACAGTGTAAGATATGACAAAATAATAATTTATAAATTATCTAAGGTTCGTGGGGGAGGGAGGGGAAAATGAGCTGATACCAAGGGTTGAAGTAGAAAGAAAATGTTTTGCGAATGATGATGGCAACAAATGGACAAATGTGCTTGACACAATGGATGGATTGTGATAAAAGTTAAACGAGACCCCAATAAAATGATTTTTTTTTAAAGTGGGAGGCCCTTGACAAGAAGGATTGACACAGTGAGTGCAAAAATGGGCTCAAACAAAGGAACAATTGTGAAGATGGAGCAGGACGAGGTAGTGTTTTGTTCCCCTATGCATGGGGACGCAATGATATGGAGCCAAAGCAATGGCACCTAACAATATCACTTTATATCAACCAATATGTAGTCCACATCCAACCTCCAGTGTCCCCCAAATGCCTTATCCCATTTTCTTTTTTTGATCCAAGGTCCAAATAAAATTCACATAGTGCTTTGGCTTATATCTTTTTAGTTTCCTTTTAAGTAATTCTCTTGACATTTTTTTTCTTCCAAAACATTGGCATGTGTCAAGTGTTCAGGCAGGTTGTCTAGGACCATGTCTCACCATTTGGACTGATCTGTTTCTTTGTGATTAGATTCATGATTGTGATATTGCCTACCTTTACTGCCTTCCATTGTGAGGCACATAATGTCATTTGGCCCCATTATTAGTGATGCTAAATTTGACCACTTAGATAAGATGGTGTCTGACAAAACTCTCCGTTATAAATATACCCTCCCCTATTGGGTTTTAGAAAGTAATCTGAATGAAAATACTTTAAAGTCAAGTGAAAATCCTATTCCCTAACACCCTTTGGTGCCTTGATAATTTTTTCCTCAGTCCATAGTTATCAAGGTGGGGAGGGTTTTATAATAATGATGATCTAATTTTATCATTTCATCGTCATTAGCTCGCATTCACGCATCGGTTCGGGACTGAGACTGCTCCACCTGGAAGAGCCCCTACTAAAGAGGACAAAACAATCCCATAGTATTTGTAAGCAGTAAGAACTGCTCATGATATGTTTTACTTTTTCTACTTCATTTCTCAACCCTTTGTGCCTTTGGTCCCAACCTGCCTCTTGTCCCATTCCTCTGGGATGGGGAAAAACCCAAATCCCAAACAGTAGATTGCCACTTGCAACAGGAATGTGCCAGTCTGTTTTTACTGCATCACGGTATCACGGAGAACGACTCTTGGA